TAATAACACCTCGCGTTTGCTCAACAAAAATACGAAGAATTATTTGAAGTATGTGTCACGACCCTTGCACGCGAATCAAGAACACAGGCGCGAAAAACTCTCGAGGCACTCTGGATTAATTCCAGAAATCCGAAAATGAACCGCAGGGAAGAATGCCTCATTATCACGCGTTATAGAGGGCAGTATATAAGACTGCTATTCTGATGGTAAGGGCACATTATGCTTCCATGTGATTTCTGTGCGGTCGGTCTCTACGTGACATACTTAGTGGAAACCTCATAGAAAGCGGTGAGTGTGCAAAGCTGTGTTCAATGTGATTGAAATCTTGGTTTAGAGTTTCTTTGTTTGGTTATGGAGGCGTCTGGCCAAGTAGATTGCTGTCAACTTGACCTTTCCAGGCTCTGAGGAAGGCGAAATCCGCCGAAACGTCAGCTCATTTGTGAATAAAGAATAATAACACCTCGCGTTTGCTCAACAAAAATACGAAGAATAAGATGAAGCTATTCTGTGTTCAATGTAATTGAACTCTTGGTTGAGCATTTTCTCTGTTTGAAAGAAAGTGGAAAAAATTGGAAGTGTTTAGCTGGGTAGATTGCGGTCAACTTGATTTTTTCAGACTCTGAGGAAGACGAAATCCGCCGAAACGTCAGTTTGTTCTTAAACAAAGAATAAATTAACATCTTGCGTTTGCCCAACGAGAAAATTAAGAATTATTTGATCAATGCCGAGGTTAACAAAAAGTCGGTCATGGGAATTTTGTTTATATTTCACATGATATCCTGCCATGAAAAAAATGGTGGGCACTAAATAAAAATTGACGACGTTATCACAGCATAATTAATGTCCATAATGTTATACAATGGCAAACACCTTGTCAAAGGGGCAAGGGTCTCCGTACTTGAGCTATAGGAGTCATTTTTTAAAATGCTCTTCTTGGAAATCTTGTTTGAAACTGTACATTGTTAGTCTTAACTATTTTTATAGATTGGGTTGCCACTGAGGATTGGGTTGAGCAGTGGAAATCAAAACTGCCACTTCAAACAATTATGCGACTTCTTCAAGTGCTTGTACCTCAAGTGGAAAAAATTTGTATAGACAAGTACAGTTTTGACGTGTTTTATTCTATGGTTATGCTGTATTAATCAGTACTTTTGTACCTATATTGCTGTTTAGTGTTCTTTATCTCTACTTTTTTCAGAGGTCTAACAGACGAGAGTGAAATTTTGAAATTTCTACAACATGGTACATTGGTAGGGCTTTTGCCTGTACCACATCCAATTCTAATTCGAAAGTATCAAGCGAATGCTGGAACAAATCATTGGTTCCGCACTTACATGTGGGGAGTGATTTATCTAAGGCGAGCGAATCGTTGAAGCGTGATTGTTTGTTTTCCGATGGTTGTTTTGTGTTCTGTGCTTAAACTCAACTTTTTTCCTTTTGCATGGGCACAGAGGACCTCACAACGGTTTACAGCCTCACAGTAGCTGGGAATTGTTCCTGGGTGTCGAGCTGCGATGTAGCTTGGGAAGATTCATCCCTCTGCAGGGTCTTTCAAGCTGAGAAAGAGTCCGGCGCCTCCATCAGAAATCCTAGTAAAGAGCATACCAATACCAGGATCCACCACGGTCCTAGTATCAAAGTCGCATGGTGGTAAATCTTCCTTTGGTCCACAAACGCGGCGACTGTCTGTGGTGGTGACGACCTGGGGCAGGCTCTGGCCAGTCTGGCATCGCGGCTCCAGTGGGCCGAACCAGCAAAACTCGGAAAAAAATGGAAATTATGCTGAGGCCCACATAGCGAGTGAGGAATCATTAATCCAAGAATGAAGTATCCAAGTGTCCATGTATGGTACAGATGATGCTGTTAGAGTGCCACTTGTTCTTTCACTTAAAGCATTTTTTTCTGACAGTTCATCGATTGATGTATTGGTTTCTTTAGAAACACGGAGCCACCGATATGGTACGACACTGAAGTGAAGCTGTTTGAAATACAGTAAAACATAGTTTCCATTTACGTTCATAATCAATGACAAACACATGTTAGTGTGATTCTTCTTTTCGCTTCTACTCTTCTTGTGACTTTCAGTTTTGTTTCATATTGGTTCATTTATATCCAGTATCCCAGATTTAAAAATGCACTGTTTTACAATGCTAATCTTCTATTACCACACAATTGGCTGATGAAAATTTTTCGTTGTGTACATTGTATATCGCATTCCATTATCTTCTTTTCGTGTTTTATTATTTGAACATATCTCATTAACATTTTAGGACGATTGTCAACGACTGATCAACAGCTGTACTCATCGGTCCTTAACCTAAACACCTTAACTATGGTTTTATGACTGTTTTTTGTTCATATTCGCTCTCTATTACTAATTAATGCGATTTCCTATCGAAAGAGAAGTGACAACATTGGGATTTTCTTTCAGTCGCAAATGAGAGTTGCTTAGTTTGGGAGATTAAGCGCTCTATTGAGAATGTCACGCTCCTCTTTTAGTTGCTGTTCTGTCCATGACTGTGATTTAACTGATCCCCTTGCTATGCTTCGTTACAGTTGATTATAAGTGAACCTGTGACATTTTCTATGGTTCTTAATAGATTTGAACTGCAAGTCAGTTTTATCATGAGGTTATTAATTTATCCTTCTGTTGAACAGTGGCACTGATTCGTATACTTATTCTGTCAGTGGTCAGTACGTCGATAGTCGATCAATAGTCAGTCGTCGATCAATCAGTACGTTCACGCTATCTTTAATGGCTCTTGGAATAAAAGATTAGCGTTGTATTTTTTTTGTGCTCTGAAGATCAAAATACCTTGGTTATTGCTTCACAGATAAATTTACTTTCAGTGGAAGTTGCACTTTGGCCCCATTGTGCAGACTTTCATTGTTAGGGAAAATTCTAGCTCAGTTCTCAGAGCTGTTGAATCTAATCATTCATGTTCAATCAATCATCATGTTGAATCATGTTAAAAACGGAAACAACAATAAAGTTCCTATCGATAAGAAGCCAAAGTTGGACGGAAGATTTGAGTGGCTCTGAAAGTGCAGGTTCCTGCAGTATACCTGTATTTGCATATTTTATGCATACAATAAAGGATAAGCCCTAGGCACACCAAGACCTCGACCAATACGGGGTAGGCAAATTTGTACCAAACATGTGTGGGAGGATAGGAGCACTGGCTCGATACATCGGTAGACCATCGCGAGTCATTGTAAAGGCCAAATGTGCATTCAATCATCTCCAACGATGCTTAGTGCAGTCGAATGCATGGCGCATCTCTCAGGGATTGATAAACGGTGAGATCTTTATCCTTTTTATCCTTTTACCGTGGGACATCGGTTTTCGTATTGTACGCAATCCTTGGCTTTCACGATTTAAAGGACTCAGGTCATCTTCCAGAACGTCGTGGGCTGGTCTATGCTGACACTTTACGTTTTGTTTTGGAAAATCTCATTTTCTGCGTGTGCTGTTCAGTTACTCCTAATCGAGTTTTTGGTGGCATGTAAATGCAATCTCTACTCTTCACAGCTTTTGATGGTTGTAGTGATATCGCAACTGTTTTTCCCACGTCACTTCTCCTCCTAGAGTTTGTGGAGGAATGTCTTATGCCATTTCCACTTGGCTTCATCCCCATATCGGTGCTGCCCGAGTCATATTTCTGATGTGCTCTAAGAAGATAGTACGTGACATTTTAAAATGCTAGCCCCATGTGCGTTTTCTTCGAGGACATGTTACTTTTGTGTTTAATAAGGGCATTGATTTAGTGCATTGGATACAATTCGGTTGTGAGCTGAAGTCATCATTGCAGCGTTACATCTCCATTATTTATTGTAGACTATGCTTTCAGTTGTTCCGATAGTATGCATTTTCCGTTGAGATGATTCTAAGCACCTCTGTGCCACAACTTGTTAGCTCTTTTGGTGCACAACCATCCAATGCCATCTTTTGCAGAGGTACCCTTCTACATTCCTCCCTTTTGTTCGTTTCCTAAAAGTAACATGGATATGGCCACTATTCCCCGATTAGTGATTATTCTTTTATACTATCGTATGTTCCTATAGTAATTAAAGGGTAAGAGGGATTAAGCTCTCGGCGATGATCAATCCTTGAAGAATGCGCCTTGAATCCTACACCATTAAGCATCGTTGGAGATGAATGAATGCATATCTGGCCTGTACAATGACTCGCGATAGCGTTCCGATGGATGGAGACAGTGCTCTTATGTTCCCAGACAAGTCTGCTACCATGTTCCCGACCCCGGAGGGATGGAATGCCTGGTGGGCCTGGAGCGACAAAATCGATCCCATGTGCATTGCAGGGCTCCTAAAATCACTGCGCTACACGCTCCAATTCCTGCAGTAATAGTGTCAACTAATGACGATACTCACTATTCCTAATGTCACCTATGAATTTGTGGTATGTATAAATGTTTCCTTCTCATTCAGAGGAACTTTGCTTGCCATAAGCAATCTTTGTCTTGTTAACCTCGTTGTGTGAGCGGTGCTTATTTGTGTGTTATTTTGTCCTAAGCCATCACGAACGCCGTAACACGAATGGCAAAATGTTGTTTGCGAGAGCCATCTTCCTTTGTCTGTTGTGTTCACGAACGACGAAGAAGCGACGATCGACGAATGTTTTTCATATAGATTCAGAACCTACGCCAAAACACTGCCTTCTCCAGAACACATTTAAACGGCCCTGTGATTTACTGACCTGTTCGTTTGGCAAGCGTCTTTATGGTCCTTCCGTTTGATTGTCCATTACTCAATATAGATAATCCAAGTTGTTAGCCCTTATTGCAAGTGCTCACTATTGTACATTAACCTCATTCTACTGTTTTTGTACATTTTAACACATTAACCCAATTGCTCGGTCACTAAAAGTTAAGGTTTTTACAATACTTATTATTCCCCAGTGTTACCAAATTGTGACATATAGTTTGTAACCCTATCGCATTGTCATCATTCATCATAAGTCAGGTTTTACGACCTCGCATGAGTCGCGCGATGTGTAGACCACTACTAATGATTTCTACATCACACTTGCACATCACACTGGCTCGCTTGCCTGTGGCGAAGCTACTGTTTTACTTCGAAGCGCTCTCTTACGAACCAGTCCTGTCCTCACTTATTGACGCTATTGCTACATTGCCGCCTGTGTTGTTTAGATGTTGGCATAGCGTTATTCTTACATCGTTATTATTATAAACGGTTTTATAACGCAAGTTTGGGATATTGCTCTGTGACAACTTCGAAAAAGTCCTCTGAGGCAAGTTCCTACGAAGTTGAGAATTCTCCTTTGGGCTAGTGATTATTCGGTTCCAATAACTGGAAGACCTAATTTCCACCATCTATGGCTATAAAGAATATTTTTTCTTTTACTCATGTCGAGTTGCTCGAAATTTTCAGGTCGCTTTTATGTATTAACGCAATCGCCAGAATACGCATTGCTTTCAGTGCGTGTGATGAGAAAGCAGTCTTTTATTGTACTTCTCTTCCTTGTCAACCTCGTGTTTGTTTATCATTGGGCGATACATATTGATTAGTCATGTTGAGGTTAAAAGAAAGTTTTTGCAATATTCTTTTATGTTTGAACGAACACATTTCAGCTCGTAATAAACTTGATTTATCGAAAAAAAACATTGGAATTTACAGTTCTGCCGAACAGGTACACAAGTTTTTTATTTATCTAGATTTAGTTCTGACATTCCAGAGCCTATGAAGTGTGTTTTTGGCTTCTTTGCCTGAAAAATTATATTTCAAGCACGAAAGAAGTTGAACAACTGGGGCTCTGTGCAGGAGGGCGTGACAGTTTTCCAAGTCTACGTAGCGTTCGTTTCTGCAGCGGCAGCGCTCGTGTCGGAAATTGAAAACATTCGCTTTTCAACTCTGGGAATTTCTGCCTGGAAAATTCGATTTTTTTTTGGCCTGAAAAATTTTGAATTCAAGGAGTATAGGAGTAAGCTATATAGACTTAGGGTAAAAGGCGAAAGATTCATCATTTAGTCTCAAACATTCTCACCTGACACAATAATGTATTAATAGAGAGGTTTTCTTCTGTTTTCGGAAAACCAGCTGTATATAACTGTACATGGTAGTTCGTTTGATGTTCGCGTGTTGTACGGGTTCAAGCTAAATATCATCGATTCGACACCCTTATTTGGTGACTAGAAAGTGCTCTATTATTTGTACGTTGATTCATGGCATAATTGTATCCGAAGAATAGAATGCTGACTGACTTGTCCACCTCGCTAGTGTGCACCATTATTCTGAGTTGGCTTTCTGCATATTCATCCTGCCACAGAACCATAGAATCGATACTCATTTTTATCTTTGTCTTTACATTTTAGGTGATTCCTCATCACATCTA